CGACCATCTAAAAAATGGTATAATTGCCCATTTTTAACGGATTTTTACCCTTAAAAGGTCACCTAGAATTTTCGGGAGCCTTTTTTCTGGCTGAAATTTTCGAAAAGGTAAGTTTTGATCCCTATAATTTTCGGATCACTAGACTTTCAGCTAGGAAATCCGAACAGATGAAAAATTTTTAGGGGATAAAAATATGCCTATATCTACCGTTTAAATACTAAAATACGTTTAACAATGTTATGTTTAAGTGGTTTGAATTATATTCTCGTTGTGTGCCCCTGGTGCTTTGATTACAGCGCACTTTGACAACATGGATAATATGTCGTTTTCAAATCGGACAGGCCTCTCGAGTTCAGAGCCAAAGAGTGTCCACAAATAGTTTGGCAAGCACATGGTTTTTGATGTATATTCCGTAAGTATATAGTCGCTTTCTACGACAACTGTCGTTTTCATATCGTTCGCTCTCGTTCGACCAATCTAATTACGAACATGTCCACAGATAAGGGAGTGAGTGAAAGAGTGAGTGGCTCATTTGCAAATCGCAGCTACCACACCACAACAACTCGTAGCTTAGAGATGGCTGTGACAATCCGTGGAAGATTTATCACAACGGTGCCCCCCAAAATGGGCTTAAAACAAAATCAGTTCTCGGATTAGGCAGAGAGAATTTGTTTTCCTTCACCCGGTTGTTCAAACGTCGGATAGCGCTATCCATCGGATAAATCATTATCCCGCGGATAAATATAAGGGAAATGAATTGCTTTACCCACTGGAAAGAGATTTATCCAGTGGATAGCGTTATCCACCTTTCGAACAAAAGGGCCCTTGTCTCTGAGTCCATTGTCTATGACCGATGTTTTAAGAGAGTGTCTCTGTAAGAGCGGTCTGGTCGATTTTGCTTGAGACACAGATTTAGCTCATCTCTTGTGTGTTGTAAGACAATCATGTACCTATACTAAAACCACAATCCGTTTGATCGGATCTCTTTATTTTTCAGAGTTTTACGGAAATTAAATTTCACTCGAGCGAAGGCCTGTCGTGACACTTTTCAAGAAGTTAATTTGAGACAACTTTGGCGGACAATTTACGAAAAAGTACGGGACTCAGCAAAAATCAAATACCACAGACATGTATAATAACTCCATCTTATCCATCGAGGCGACTTTCGTGAACATCACGTTTCAATCAAGCAAACAGGAAGACTTGAACGACACCTTATTGGTTCGCTTAAGTCACACACGTGAAAACCGATCAAATTCAAGGTACATTTTTGAAAAAGTGAGGCGTTCTTAACTGATCCAACTAATATAGCTAGGAAGTAGGTGCCATAGAAAAGGTAACTACAGAAAAAAACTTTGCGGCCCGACCTTTATTAAAACTTTATAACTCCGTGAACTTACCTAATTATCGGCAATCTCCAAGTTTTGCCGCCATTTTGAGGGATTTGTCAACATGAAGCGTAGCAGATATAAATCGAGCAGGTAGATCTAAAACCGTCAGAAATACATACGAAAGCATTTAAATGAACTTCACTTTCAATTCAATGGGCAAAATTTGAAATTGTTCGTTAAACCTACCATTCCTAAATCCCCATGCGACCATTTCTTCCAACAATTCAAACACGACAACTAGTGTTCGAATTCCCCTCGTCGATTCCACCGTAAGAAATAACCTGTGCTACCCAAGCTTCGACTCGAATGTGAAGTACGAATCAAACAACATAACTGCTTCATCTTCGAGGCCATATCACGCTGGTATTTTGATTTTCTGATCGACAAGAACGGTGATCAGGAAGTGATCGCCATGTTTACTTCATAAACGTGACCGCTGACCAGCCGCTGAGTGAAAACAGTACGGCGCGGGGTGGTGTGGGTGGCGGACTTATCGTCATAAGATATTCGAATACATGCTAAAAAAAGCTTTAGGACTCCCAGTCTAAACAGTGAAGGCATGCTTCGTGGTACAGACAACTTTTATTTTATTCTCATAACTTTTTCCCTTAAATTAGAACTGGTATTAATTAATAAGGTTTTTAAATATTTTTAACCTAGGTACCCATATGACCTTTTAGCTTGTCCTCAGTGGTATCAAATAAGGTGTCTTTTCTTCTTCCACAACCTTTTATTTATGCGTTATTGCACGGAATGAACACTATACTTAGAAGGTTTGTTCTAAATCATTTTTGCTGTTCCCAAGAATGTATGCAAAATCATTGCTTTATACAAAGCTGACTCTAAAATATGATTTTCCGTAACAGTAACCAATGTCATTTAAGAAAGCTGTTAATAAAACTAGCAATGTACAATTTTTAGCGTTTTCCACTTATAAGCCTGAGATACAATTGTCTAGTGAACTATGTTAGTTTCAGCTCATTCCTTGATTCGATGTGACCTTTTATCACTAAACCCTATTCTTTTCATTTGCAATTTTCCTGTACTTTTTTCTTCATACGACAACGACAAAGAGTTTTATAAGTAAACCGATTTTTTGGTGTACCACGCATATTACATTGTATCTACAAATACATGCAAAAGGCCGGCTAAATAAGCTCTTACCCCTGCTCCTAATTTTTTGGGTTGCTTCGCCCCATGCCTCTGCACGACTCCCTGTCGGCTAAAAGGAAATTTGAAAGTCTGCTATGCAGGACACATTTTCTTTTTCATTTTTTTTACCCTCTACAGGCTCCTGCCCTCTACAATTTTTTATAAGTATGTAAAGATATAAAAAAACACAAAGATTTTTACAAGTAAACTGTTTTTTTTGTACCACTCTTAATATATACATATACTTTGTTCTGCCAAAATGGAGGCTAAGAACGGCTGAATATATACCTACTTGGAAATAAAATAATGCTGTTTGGTTTCCCGTTAAAACATTACGTAAGAGTGACTCGTGTTTGTTCAAATTGTGACAAAACCAAGTCACAAATTCAAAGCAAAAGAGAAAAAAGTGTAATTTTCATAACCAACTTACAATCTCTCCATTATAGACAGCTACAAGGGCCATTTGGTCACTGCTTGATGGTGTAATTATCCTTCCACTGAGCACTGGCATTCATGGGTCATTTCCCTTATTTTTCACATTAGAACAGCTTTGCATTCTCTAGATTTAATCTGGGTTGCAAAATTCTCATCCCTTACCCTTTCAGAAGACGACAGTACCAATGTTATCGAGAGACAGTGTAGCGAACCTTTCCAGTCGAATTTAAGTGAAGGATGGGCACTTCATAAGCCAAAAGGTGGCGCTGTTCGCTTCTCAGAGAAAGTAAGGCAGTATCTCACCTCCAAGTTTGAAATTGGTGAGCAATCTGGAAGGAAAGAGGATCTGCGACAAGTCTCGCGAGATATGAGGAAAGCGAAGGGGGGAAACGGGGTGCGCCTGTTTTCCCGGGAAGAGTGGCTAACCAAAGCCCAAATACAAGGATTTTTCTTCCGTTTGTCCTCCTCGAGATGGAAACGAACAGGTTCGTCTCCGAGCACCGCAATTGACGATAAATCTGACGAGGGATTAATTGACGAGGAAGAAGTGAATCACATGACCACCGTCGAATCAGTTGTAACAGAAATTGGCTGAACGCATCCGATTGTCTATGACATTTATGACTTGTGTGACTACGTCAAGGAGGAAAAATTGAACTATTTTGCTCCTTCCATTCTTAAGGAAATCTGTACTTTCTTCGAGCTCCCATTTGAATGGGAGTCATGCAGAGGCATGGGGCGAAGCAACCCAAAAAATTAGGAGCAGGGGTAGGAGCTTATTTAGACGGCCTTTTGCATGTATTTTTATATACAATGTGATAAGCGTGGTACACCAAAAAATCGGTTTACTTATAAAACTCTTTGTCGTTGTCGTATGAAAAAAAAAAGTACAGGAAAATTGCAAATGAAAAGAATAGGGTTTAGTGATAAAGGGTCACATCGAATCAAGGAATGAGCTGAAACTAACATAGTCCACTAGACAATTGTATCTCAGGCTTATAAGTGGAAAACGCTAAAAATTATACATTGCTAGTTTTATTAACACCTTGCGTAAATGGCATTGGTTACTGTTACGGAAAATCATATTTTAGAGTCAGCTTTGTATAAAGCAATGATTTTGCATACATTCTTGGGAACAGCAAAAATGATTTAGAACAAACCTTCTAAGTATAGTGTTCATTCCGTGCAATAACTGTACCACGAAGCATGCCTTCACTGTTTAGACTGAGAGTCCTAAAGCTTTCTTAGCATGTGTTCGATAACTCCGCCACCCACACCACCCCGCGCCGTACTGTTTTCACTCAGCCGCTGGTCAGCGGTCACGTTTATGAGGTAAACATGGCGATCACTTCCTGATCACCGTTCTTGTCGATCAGAAAATCAAAATACCAGCGTGATATGGCCTCGAAGATGAAGCAGTTATGTTGTTTGATTCGTACTTCACATTCGAGTCGAAGCTTGGGTAGCACAGGTTATTTCTTACGGTGGAATCGACGAGGGAAATTCGAACACTAGTTGTCGTGTTGGAATTGTTGGAATCAATGGTCGCATGGGGATGTAGGAATGGTAGGTTTAACGAACAATTTCAAATTTTGCCCATTGAATTGAAAGTGAAGTTCATTTAAATGCTTTTGTATGTATTTCTGACGGTTTTAGATCTACCTGCTCGATTTATATCTGCTACGCTTCATGTTGACAAGTCCCTCAAAATGGCGGCAAAACTTGGAGATTGCTGAAAATTAGGTAAGTTCACGGAGTTATAAAGTTTTAATAAAGGTCGGGCCGCAAAGTTTTTTTCTGTAGTTACCTTTTCTATGGCACCTTCTTCCTAGCTGTACTAGTTGGATCAGTTAAGAACGCCTCACTTTTTCAAAAATGTACTTTGAATTTGATCGGTTTTCACGTGTGTGACTTAAGCGAACCTATAAGGTGTCGTTCAAGCCTTCCTGTTTGCTTGATTGAAACGTGATGTTCACGAAAGTCGCCTCGATGGATGAGATAGTGTTAATATACATGGCTGTGGTATTTGTTTTCTGCTGAGTCCCGTAGTTTGTTGTAAATTGTCCGCCAAAGTTGCCTCAAATTAACTTCTTGAAAAGTGTCACGACAGGCCTTCGCTCGAGTGAAATTTAATTTCCGTAAAACTCTGAAAAATAAAGAGATCCGATCAAACGGATTGTGGTTTTAGTATAGGTACATGAATGTCTTACAACACACAAGAAATGAGCTAAATCTGTGTCTCAAGCAAAATCGACCGGACCGCTCTTACAGAGACACTCTCTTAAACAGCCTTGGAGGCACCCTGGAGTGTAATTGCATTAGCGTCCTTTGAATTTCTTCCTTCAGTTGCTCAAAAGATGGATAGCGCTATCGACCAGGCCTCGGTTGTTCAAAAGTTGGATAGCGCTATCCATCGGATAAATCGCTATCCAGAGGATAAGTATTACGAAACCAATTGCGCTACCCTTTGAACAGTGATTTATCCAGTGGATAGTGCTATCCACCTTTCGAACAAATGGGGCCAGATAAATGTCTATCCAATAGATAGCGCAATTGGTTCCCCTGATACTTAATCACTGGATAGTGATTTATCCTTTGGATAGCACTATCCAGCGTTTGAACAACTGGGGCCTGGTGGAAAGACTATACCATTCCACACCATGAGTGTGAAGGGCAGTACACTATATGTTAACACTTTGTGACAGGCACGACGCCCAAGTACGGTACTCACTTGGCACCCATGTGCACGCACCCTGTTTTCTCGTACCCACGCCAGAATTTGGACAAGGTGCCTGAATAGGTCGAGACCTTGCACTCGAACACTTGCACTCACACCGGGTCCCTATATAAAAATATTTAAATATAATCCGCTAGGATGGATTCATTTGCAACATACTCATATAGCTAGCCGTCGTAATTACCCGCTGGAATTTGTTATTGTTTTGAACTTAAAAACAAGTAAACAAAACCAAAATTAGACAGTCACAAACGTAATGTATACAAAAATGTGCACGTAGACATTTTAAATTTGCCGAGTATTCACACTAGAAGAGTCCAGAGAAAATGAACCATCAGGACCGACAAATCGCCCCAGGAACTTGAGAGCCTTTTCACATGACGTCATGTTCGCCATATTGGTGTTCCAAAACATTAAAATGGCGGCCATGTTGGTGTTCCAAACCAATCCTGTGGGGGCTAATTTCTCATGTGAACCTACGCTGCTAGCAGAGCCGCTTCGATCTTTCCTAGATATAAGTCGACTTATCTAGGAAGATCGAAGGAGACTCTGTTCGCAGGGTAATGTGAACGGTTTCTTTGGGGGCAATAAGTTTTTATAGCCACTAGCCACGTGAGTAAAACGATCTTTAGCATTAGAAGGATGGCACTTTTATCCATTACCATTTATTAAGTACAATCATGGTAATCATGATAATAATAATCGAGCCTTAGGGCAAGCTCTCCGGTGCGAGAGGAGAGCTTGCAACTATGTCCCTGGAATTTGAACTTCACCTCCAGTTCTCTGTGACTCCCCGTCGACTGAGCTGTCAGATTTCTGCCAATCAGCGCGAAGCGGAAACGAGCGCCAGTGTAAACAAACATTGAAAGACGCGTGCCGAGGGTGATGACGTCATTACTAATGTCATCTCCGCCAATCAGCATTTCGCATCGACTTTTTCTATGCAGATATTCAAATTCCAGAGACGTAGTTTCAAGCTCTATAATGATAATAATGATGATGATGATAACCGGAAGTCTTCAGTAACGATGTGTAAACACCAGTATCTAAATAATATTGATTAATTTAAAAGTATAGACAGTTACGTACTAGCCATAACTATGACAGCGTGCAGGTCCACATTGAGTTCATGATCGATTTTGGAGGAAATACAGCAAATGAGAGACCACCCCGCGAATGCATGATGTAACCTGACACTCGACGCAATTCAAGTGAGAGACCACCCCGCGAATGCATGATGTAACCTGACACTCGACGCAATTCAAATTGGCTTTATTTTTGGCGGTTGCGCTAATAAATTAAAATCAAGGATCAAAGTTAAGGTGGCCCGAACCTATTTTTATGCGTGTTGGTTATGTTTTTGAATCACGTTTTTCGGCAGGAGATATTTAACCGATTTCTAAGATTTTTGGCATCCTTAATAAAGAATAGTCGAACTTTAAGAAACTGTTATTTATTTTCTTGTAGGTATAAAAACGTTTTAGATATTGGCATGCGTTTAAAACCGCATTTTTATAAAAAATGTCAATAACTTCGAAACCCTAAGATAGATTTTTCTCTAACTTCAGCAAGTAAGCCTGAGAGCTCTCTAGTTTTATATCCGCAATTTTGAAGTCAATCGTGATCATAGAACTCGCTGCACAAATAGGTGGTCAAATTTAACCTTAAAATGCAACGCTAACACATTCGTGAAAGTTGACGCACAAATAGAGGAAAACTGCCGACGGACTACCTCCAATCTGCAATGATATTCTTGCCCAAAGCTTCAGCTGCAAGAAACCTAGTAATCAGAAACCTACGGCGAATACGGTTCGCAATACAAGAAGAAAAAATGTGGTTTTCAACATATGCCGATATCTCAAACGTTTTTATACCTACAAGAAAATAAATAACAGTGTCTTAAAGTTCAACCATTCTTTGTTAAGGACTTAAAAAATAATAGAAATTTGTCAAATCTTTGCTGCCGAAAAACGCGATTGAAAAACATAACCAACCCGCAGATGAATACGTTCGGGCCACCTTAAATGAGGTCGAACGAAAATTGCATTTTCATGATACTGATAACATACGAAGGTATTTTAAAAACAATTACGTTCCAAAATGCGTCGAGTGATGGATTTATTTTAACAACTGGCTCTCCAGTTTCAATACTGGGGCCAAGATTAATTACGTAGACAAATCAATGTATTAGAGTTTTTATTTAGTATTTTATCTTTAAGTGTTTAATGCAGGCCTAAGAGTGAAATATTCATGGAAGGAACAGCTCTCTCTTTTGCCTTATCTCTGTAGAGTCTGTGGAGTAAAAAACGTTTTACAAAATTCATGTTATTCGCCCTAATACTTTTGCAAAAAAGGCATCAGCTTATTACTTTAAAAAAGCCTCCTTATCGTTTTTTACTGCAAATTATTTATTTACATAGATCGACAGCTGACCAAATCATTTTTGGGGTCAGTGATGTCAATGACAGTGCTGAATCATGTTTAGATTTTTTAAAATATTGTTAACAGTACAAACTGAAGCTCAAAACACGCAAAGTCCTTCAAAGCTACGATCCTGCTGGTCTCCTTCAGGTATGGACAGTGTTTCTTACAACGACAAAGAAATTAACTAATGAGTTTATATCAGCAAATTTGTTCGGAATCCTTTTTTTTTTGTCTATTGCAATGTTGAGCTTGATGATGGTTTCAGAACCCTTTTCTTTTCTTATATTTTATTTTTTATAACAGAAATGTGGTTTCTTTCTCTGGTTTTCATGCACGAAGGAGTTTTCACGAACGACTATTTATCAGAAGATTTTTTCGGAATTCTTTTTTGTGACTATTGAAAGGTTGAGCTTGATGACGGTTTATTATTTTATTGTAGTTTTTTTTTTTTAAATTCAATTTTTGTATAACAGAAATGTGATTTCTTTCTCAAATTTCCATGCAGCTTTACTGACGTTCCTCATTCATCAGACTGCTCGTAGATCAGCAGAGGCAACCAAACGTATATTTCAGCATTTCGATTTTGAAATACCCGTGGCCTTTGGTGTCCATCAAAAACTGATAGGGTCACATTAAAGAAATAATATATAGGTTTAGTCAGGGCTAAAAGCGAGGCCTCCGTTTCTATACTTATGATAAAAGCAATCAAATTAAAGTAATAACATGAACTCTAAGCCACAAAAAAAAAAAGAAAGAAATCTTCGCATCTCTAAGAGCCTTCGGCACCAGACACCTTTAGATGGAGGGGCTAAATGATTAAGAAAAAATATCCTGCAAACAAACCTGAATTGAAAACAATGGGTAAATTGTAGGTCTCTTAAAAGAGCTGTGTCACGAAATTCAGCCAAATTAGGTTATTGCAAAATACTCGTTGAATTAAAAGAAACATAAAAATAACCGTTTAAAACGTTAAAGGAAGGTTAAAATAACGCAGCAGATACAACAGCTGCCACGGATGGACAAAACTGAAGAATATTGAAACGGATTAAAATTGGGGTTTTTGAAAACTGTTCAGCCTAACTGACAGTTTTTCAAAGTTTATCTCTGCTGTTTGCAGCTTCAAAAATAACGCTCAGGGGACATATTTGTTTGTCTCTAATCTCTGATTTTGTCATTTACATGTAATTTCTTTGCCTACATTCAGTTCCATGGCGATTGAGGGCGAGTAATTGGCAAAATAAAACAAAATAAAGTGGACTGCCGTTGCTTGTCGTAATTTTTTTTGCGCACCTTTATTTGGCATTTATATGATTGTTTGTTTGCTGAGTTCAACTTTTTGCTGGTCAAGTTCTAGATTTTAGGCGAGCTTTTCAAACTACTAGTTATCATAGTCAAATGTGAGTCACAGGAAAGCTTTCTTGAATTGTATATTCTTCATCCTTTTTGTCCTTTTGTGTAGTTTTTCAGTATAAAAGAGAAAAGATAACAAAAGGTGACTGCAGCCAGTGAAGTATGTTTGACATCCCAGTTGCGTTATATGCCGTATTGTTGATCATAAGTACAACGTAAGCATATTTTTTAAAAAAACTTTTTACTGAAAGTTTTCTTTCTTTTGCAGTCTGTCCAACATGTTTTCAGCGATATTCTCCATCGTTTTTGCTATGGTTTTAGTTTCTGTTGAAAGCAGTACTGTTCAATCTGCTGTTGAAGTTGCCATGAGGTGCACTAAAAAAGGATGGCAAGCGGAAATGGATGCTCTGGCATCAGGCCCTGTCACCGAGGAAGAGATCCTTGAAGATGCTTGCATTTATCTAAGGGTAAGCATTACAGAGTATTTATATATCACCAGTATACATCAGCTTGTCTTGCGGTCTTTTCTTTCTTTCCTCAAAAGAAGAAGAGCAACAAAAAATAAAAACCTTTGATGGCGTTGGAACTTACAGCCAGCGGACAAGGCGTGGAGGTAATTGAGAAGCTGTAAGAGGGCCAAAGTGGATTTGTAGCTTTGACGGCTGACGGTTAATTTTCAGTCAGTTCAAGTTTGACGGTGGACGGCTAAATTTTAGGGCTTTTGACGGTTATTTAGTGAAAATTTAGTTCACGAGTTAAAGTAAATATTAATTATAACTTCTGTACAAATTAATATTTAACTATTGTGTTTTGGAGGTTGCTTTGAACCGTTCACATATAAAATTTCCAAATATTTTAAAAGATACAGGAAAATTGTAAGGTCTTGTAATGTTCAGAGACATTTTTTTTTATATAACATGGCCAGTGGATTTTCAAGTGAAGAGATTCTTCAGGAGCCAAAAGCCCGTGAAGATCAGCTGAAATAGTGAGACTTGAAATACCTCGAAACGTTTTTATGGTTAATATTACTCTCAATTTTAGGCCGTTTGGCGGCTGACTGTTAACCCTATTGAAACCTTCCCCTAAAGGTCGCAGCAGTAAAAGAACTCGCTTCTGGCCGTGTGTAACTGAACCTACTTTCTCGATAGTAAACTACACATATCGCGCCTTAATTTTTAACCAGTTTTATTGGCTAAAAAGTTAGTTACGACTGACACTGCTTAGCCCAGTCTGAGTACCAAAACTGGTTTTGCTCAGGAGAACGTTTTGAAAAGGTTACGTTTTCTGTCACTGTACTGTGTTTTCATCGAACAAGTGTGGACGGAAAAAAATAAATGTTTGGAAGAAAAAACATAAAGTTTTATCAGTCGTCAAATAAAAACAGATATCTTTTGACCAAGTTGCTTCCTGCGAACGGGGGGAGACTTCTGAGGCTACCACTCTGTAACTTCAAAACCGCTTATGATACGGCCACGAAATTACACAGGATAATGTGCTCATAATTTCCAACATCTAGGCATATCATGATTGACACAATGACGTAATTTGACGTCATTATGACGTCATAGTGTTAAATTTTCTGTCAGAGTCCAAATTCATCAATTTTTCCCCTCAAAGCACAAAAACGTAAATAGTAAGAAGTCTGGCAAAATCAAGAAGTAGGCGATAACACAAATAATCTTTCACAATAGCAGTGATGTCATGATGACGTCAGTTGTTATCAAAGAAGGATCTGGAGTCATCAACCATCTTGAATCTGCCATTTAGAATTACTGATTTAAATGTATTCAATTCTACTTAAAACCCGTATACATCGTGCAAACGTGATTGAAGAACTGATCAGTGTATAAGAGAGTGCTTAGGAATAATAAAAAAGAAAATCCACAAGCTATGAAATTCCGAGAAAAATTAACACCATAAAATATTGAACCAAGCATCTGCCATTTGGTCATTTTTTAAACTTAATTTTTTTTCTTCTCAAATCTTCTCAAATCATTCAATAAAAAGCCTATAATAAATTTGAGAAAATATAATGCTATAATTCAATACGTGAAAAATAGATATAAATCTTTTTTTATAGGAAAAAAGCAAATCTTGAAAAACATGGCTGTCAAAACTCGGCTTACATAGTAACGTTGTCAATGTTGACATATACGTCACGACGACTTTAAAATGTTCCCAGAGTAATAAAACGTTTTCACTGTCACGCAACAAAAAATTAAATTGGAAACCGTCCAGTGGAAGAAACCAAGAAAATGAAATGTTGTAAAAGACTAATATATAAACAATTTGTCCACGTTTCAGGTCTTTGTGGCCCACAGTTTCTGAGTTATTTGACGAAACGTTTCATGCACCTTTGTAGAGCTTTGTATGGGAGACGCCATATCGGTGCACCAATATGGCCGCCGGAAATCAACAAAAACATCACTTTTTCTATAAAAGCTATTTCTTTTCACCCGAGAACTAGCATTCGTACGCGTAAACATATCTTCTAATACTTGAAGTGGTTATACTGCTGAGAATCAAGAGGAGAGACTTTTTTCAACGAGACAGCATTCCTATTTTGGTGTCACGCACCGTGAAAACTCGGAAGTTCAAATAGGCCATTTTCAGGATGGCGTTATTTTACTGCTACGACCAGAATCCTTTTCGTTTTTCCTTTCATCTTTAAATTTTACAATCCCAGTGAGGTTTGAATAACAAAAGCCTTAATTAGCACAAGGAAGCGAAACCTTGAAGGATCCTGGTCGTAGTAGTAAAATGATGTCATCGTGCAAATGTCCTATTGCTCCATTTTCGAAATGAAACATGCTACGGAAATGGAAACTTGTACAAAGATTAACTTTTTGTTTATCTTCAACCTAGTGATGTCACAATGATAATGATGTCACAATGATAACCATATATTATTAGGAAAAGTCAGTAAGTTTTATAGCATAAACGGTTTTGAAGTTTTAGCAGGGGAGGGGGAGGGGGAGGGGGGGTCCAAACCCCGTTGATCTGAATAGGGTTAATTCTCAGAAGAATTTATATAATAACAATGCTAAAAAAATACACCACGGAGTTATTTGTTCCCACAATATCAATGGTTTGAAAACGTTATAATGATATTGGAAGTTCTGAGCTCTCGATGGCATTGCTATCCTTTGATTACTCTTCATGAAGACTCAGTAAATTTGAACAAATATATTAAGAACCCACCATGTTCGATGAGTTCTTAACCTTTTCTATACTTTAACGCTTACTGACCTTCTTTATTATTATTATTATTATTATTATTATTATTATTATTATTATTATTATTATTTTGACAGGAGTTTGCGCGTTGCATTCTGAATACAGACCCCTCTAAATACGCCTCACCCGACCCCAGTATCGTCCACCTCTTGGCCGCTTACGAATGGCAGCATCTGTACATAGCAGAGATGGCTGGAATTTGTGACAACATGCCGACAGAAAAGCTAAAGAAGATCGCATTGGATCACGGTATGCTTCAAGGGAGGGGCAAAAGGCGGGTGGGTGTGTGTGGCTGGAATCCCTCTTGAGTTTTTGATATGTTGAGTGAGGCCTTTAGTATTGTGGATTAAGGCTGCTGATGAGGGGGGGAGGGAAGATTTTGGGCTAAACTAGGTGAGATTTAGCCGATCCCCGCTTTGAATGTTTCTTCAGTGAAGTGATCCCCCCTAATAACTTGTGATGACTTTCGTGATCCCTCCACCATGCCTTCATTTTCCAAGCAAATTTGAGTGGTTCCCCCCTCCGAATCCTTCCAAAGATTTCAGCGATCCCCCCCTCTTGGGTTCTCAGTTACGACTGAGAACCCAAGAGGGGTTCTCGCAAAAATCAACTGACCCTTTTCCCCCCACTCCCGCAGGCGATAAATAATGACCGGTGCCTAATATACTTTTACTTGCCAACAGTTTATAGCTAGTTAGTATAGAAACTAAGCACATATTTATGCTTTAGGTCTAAAATAGGTTATCATTTAACATTTCACTCTTTTGCCCTACACCTTTTTTAGACAAAAATGCAAACTTGCATTTCTGTTGAACCAATTGTCATCACTTTCAATGTCATATATCGCAACCACCCCTGACTACCTTCTCTATTAACGTCGGAAGGGGTTTAATCCAAGGATCTATTTTGATGTCAAATAATTTCTCTTTTTTAAGGTGTAATGGAGAAAGAAAATTTGAAGAATGTTGGTAAGAAGTTTCATTTTTACATAGGACAGTGAATCTTGATAGGATGTAGCACATATCTAAACATTAGGCATCAAGTGATTGATTCAGATTCTGACTCGCTCCAACCAGCCGAACCACCCGAACTGTATGCGAAAGATTTAGTGGACGCTTACGGGAGGTGGTCGCTTACGAGAATCGAACCACAGGTAGTCTCCTCAGAGAAGAGGTCCCGACACATCTACTATACATCGTGGCAGAGAAATCATTGCATGCGATTTCTAAGTTCCGTAAACGAGTTAGTTTTGTGTTAGCTTTTTTCGTGTACTCTGAGTGGCGTAGTATATGCAGTGACCAGAGACCACATCACGCGTAAAGTGGTCGCTTACGAGAGCACACAAACAATATTAAAAACAACAAAATCGTCAGGCCAAAAAGAAGTGGTCGCGGTCGCTCCTGTGAGGTGGTCGTTTCAGCGAACGATTTTGATTACAGGGATTTGATTGGGAACATTTTGGTGTTTTGGTTAGGTGGTCGCATGGGAGGTGTGGTCGCACAAGAGGTTCGACCGTAGTCATGCAATGCTTTCTCTTGGTATACCGCGAATATCCCACTATTGATTTGAATGTTTCATAGATAAAACTGTGTACACTGAGAAAAATCAAGTTACTCCTGGGATATATTTCACGGTATGCCACTTGAAATTGTTGCACAACTACAGCCCTGCACAAAGACCTTCTGACAGTAATGCAGCATTCGTAACCCCATAAACAGTTGAAACTCGGGAAAGGTTCTGGATACAAGCGTCCAACCTTGTTTGTGGGGTGGGAGATGGGTTGGGCATGTGTGATTTAAAGAAAGCCCAGCAAATGTAAACTTTTATTATCTATTATTGTAGCAGGTGTTTGCCCTTCAATGTGTATATATGTGTATATATTTTATCTGATTCCAGAGAATGACACATGGGCTGATTGCGTTGGACTTACGATGCGCAAATGCATGTTGCTATCTGAAAAACTGATAAAGGAAGGTAAATCGATGGATTTCGTGTCCGCAACGACCGAGTACATCAACTGTTGCAAAAAGGCAGACAAGTACAAGTGTCCGGCAAAAATGCTGGATCACTATATTCACACTATGGATGTTTATTATCAACACCTGGATTAAGACAAAAGGATGATATTGCCCGTTATCGGCTGATCACAAGATGGTCGTTTATATAGATGGTTTTCACTGTGACGTCATCAAATTGCAAAGCCAAAATATCGAGGTTTTACGAATTCTTATTTACACCAGATTGAAGATAAACAAAAAGCAAATCTTTGTACAAGTTTTCATTTGCGTAGCATGTTTCATTTCGAAAATACATCAATTTGAACTTCTGAGTTTTCGCAATGCGTGACACCAAAATAGGAATGCTGTCTCGTTGAAAAAAGGTCTCTCCTCTTGATTTTCAGCAGTATAACCACTTCAAGTATTAGAAGATATGTTTATGCGTACGTACGCTAGTCCTCGAGTGAAAAGAAAGAGATTTATAGAAAAAGTAAACTCCAGATGTTTTTGTTGATTTCCGGCGGCCATACAAAGCTCTACAAAGGTGCGTGAAACGTTTTGCCAAATAGCTCAGAAACTATTGGCCACAAAGACCTGAGACTTGGACACATCGTTTATAAATTAGTCTTTTATAACATTTCATTTTCTTGGTTTCTTCCACTGGACGGTTTCCAATTTAATTTTTTTGTTGCGTGACAGTGAAAACGATCTATAGCATGACATGCGATTAGCGCTAACAAATAGGTACTAAGCCTTCGCAAAGAGCTTTCAAAATATGCTTATGAAGTATGTGAATAAGCGGTGATGGGTATTAAAGATTATTTTAGCTTGAGAAAACAGCCGACATTTTAGGACGCCACCACTGGTTTCCCTGCGAATGACGTCTGAGGACATCACACGAATACCAGCCAGATCTAGGTAGTGTCTCTGATTGGCTGAAACTTTGCTTCAATCAATCAAAAGCACTACCCAGATCTGCTTAGTGTCACGTCCTCAGCATGAAATTTTTTCGCTCGTTCTTCAGACTCCTTTTTCAGTGGTAGCGTCACGAAATGTCCACTGTTTTCTCTGGCTGCAATAAGTTATATTGGTGTTTAAAAAGCTATGGATTAAAGAATAAACAAAATAACGGTGATGGGTTATTATAATCATTATATAATTGCTGTTAAAACAAGGACTGAATTAAAGAACCTAATAAATTGCAGAAATCAGTGTTTGCAGTTACTTCTTCATTTATTCTTCACCAACTGTGCCTGCTCGGTGGACTTAATTTGTACGTACAGGCACACAATCCTTGGCTCTCTTCTCTCCAATTACTTTGAAAGCAAGAAAAACAAACCAACGAACAAACGAACAACAAAGAAACAAACAAAAATAAAACCATTTGTGCAATTCCGGCTTTTTTTACAACCTGGATGTTGTTTAAGGTGGCTCGATACAGTTTTTCAGGGTCAATACCTCCCAAGTTTCAGCATAAACTACGTCGCCATAAACAAAGTTTCGAAAAATTGCCACCACAGTTGTATTAGATGAAGATCAAAATTTGTTTTTATCAGGGTTGCAATGGCATCGGAGTTGTCATAGCAACGAAATGACGCTATTACCTATTTTACTTGCAGCAGTATATCTCGGCACTGGGAACTGTTCTTCGAAAATCATTCACGGGAGCTTTTTCCTCCAATAGCAGCCTCGATGTTCGTGAAGTTTAAGCGAAATGGGATAAAGATTTTGTGGTTAGAAATACGGTAATAAATGGACAATCTTGGTGTTCGGCTGTTATCTGTAGAAAACGAAGCGCTTTTGACATGCAATTTCACCTCATAGTAGTTTCAATCTTTTTACAAACGTGTGTGAAAGATCAAGGAGATAGCTCCAGCCGATTGCTAGAAGGAAGGGTTTGATGTATGTATCGAGGCGCTCTTGTTAGCGGTTTTTTGAACATTTTGGTCTACTTTAACAAATTAGCGAGTAATTTTCAAACTGCTCGATAGATTTTTTTAAAAATTTTAGATTCTTGAGATTAACCTTCCTTTTATACAACCGTTTTAGTTTCAAGATTATTGATATATTGTAAGGCAGTAAAATAAGGGCTACAATTCGCTAATATTTTGGCAGAAAGTTAGTGTTTACAAGTGTGAGCCTCTCATTATTCAAGGTATTGTTTCCAAGTTTCATATTTTCGTGCACAACAATAGCTAGCATTTTTGCATATTTCAAATGCATTGTTAGTTACTGCTGTTCACGTGAAAATGAAACTTGGATACAATGCCTTGAATAATTAGAGGCTTTCACTTGTAACGACAAAACTTCCGATAAAAAAAGTAACGAATTGTAGCCCTTATTTTACTGCCTTACAATATATCAATAATCTTGAAACTAAAAGGTCATATAAAAGGAAGGTTACTCTCAAGAATCTTAAATTTTTAAAACAATCTATCGAGCAGTTTAAAAATTATTCGCTAATTTGTTAAAGTAGACCAAAGTGTTTACAAAACCGCTAACAAGAGCGCTTCGATACGTACTAATCAAACCCTTCTTTCTAGCAATCGGCTGGAGCTATCTCCCATGATCTTTCACACACGCTTTTAAGAAGATTGAAACTACTATGAGGTGAAATTTCATGTCGAAAGCGCGTCATTTTCTACAGATAACGGCCAAACAACAATATTGTCCATTTTTTACTGCGTTTCTAACAATAAAAACTTTATCCCAAAATATCTCGATAACGCTCTTACAGATTTCGCTTAAACTTCATGAACATCGAGGCTGCTATTGGAGGAAAAAGCTCCCGTGAATGATTTTCGAAGAACAGTTCCCAGTGCCGAGATATACTGCTGCAAGTAAAATAGGTAATAGCGTCATTTCGTTGCTATGACAACTACGATGCCGTTGCAACCCTGATCAGAACAAATTTTCATCTTTATCTAATACAACTGTGGTGGCAAATTTTCCAAAACTTTGTTTTTGGCGACGTAGTTTATGCTGAAACTTGGGAGGTATTGACCCTGAAAAACTGTATCGAGCCACCTTAATGTCAGGGACCAAACTGTCATTAAGCCCAGAGTCTGAAGTTTTTTTTCTCCTCAGAAACCTTTTCCTTAGTACTGATGGAAAAAAACGTGCTTGTACTTTTGTTATGCTGTTACCATGCGTAGTTTTTCGAACAGAGGGAGCAGAGATCAATCATCTTCAGGCTTCCATACTCAGTTTTGATTGATCATAATTCATCTCTTGATTCTGTCCCCTTGCCATTCCACAGCTAATGGTAGAACATATCAATTGTTTCTTTTATAGCGTGATAATTAGCGAATCGGAACGAGATGAAATAAGCACGATAAACTTTGAAGCAGCGCAAAGTTTTCATAACGTTTCCTCTATCGTTGTTGCTTAAGCTCGCTGTTAACGGATTTTACGTACCACATCCTGACCGAAGCTAGGCGATATGGCTTTCGGAGAAGCCCGTTAACTGGTTAGTCACTTTAAGTTGGAGATCACAGAGGTGGCTTAAGTCAAAATTCGACAGAAGTCCAAACCTCATTTTCTGATATAAAACGCTGAAAAATTAATCGTATTATGCACTTGAACGAAAAGCTGAAGAGGTTTCGTTCGAATGGTTACACAATAGGATTTTAACCTCACAGTCAAACTTTAGAACCACCTCCCAAAACAGAATCATTCACTCTATGGTCCAACTTAAATAAGAAACAATATTTAAACGAGTGCTTGGAACAGTCCCAAAGTGAATTGTGATGGAATAATCTATTGCCCTTGCAAATTGCTTTGTATTAGCTAGGGATTCATCGCTAAAATAGGAAAACTTCATGCCACTTTCGTGTAACATTTAATAAATTACAATAATATAACAATACAGCGGGACTCTTCGAAACTTTGTAATTAAAAGCCTTTTAAATACCTTACCACCTTTTCATATACTTCAACTCGTGAATTTCCTACCCTCTCCATAACGCCTGGGATACCGGGTACCGGGGATTCACAACGAAAACAAGCAAATTATTATGTTTTAGACAAAATAAAAAGGTGGTTACATTAACTATACTTCACACACCCTTAATAATAGCCATCCTTACCCATGGTTTCAAATTAATATCAAATCAAATCCCTACAAAAACGTCTTGCACGTTTGACGCGGAGGGACCCTAACCCATTCTTCGTCGACATTGTAATCAAAGGAGATGGAGAGTACGTTTCTGTGATTCTGTTTAGGGGCTGTTTACATGGAGGGAGTAAGATCCTAGAACAAGGAAGATCCTAAAAAGGCGGAACAAATTTTCGTTGGGTTTAAATGCAGAAATGTAGGTCAGTAGTGTGGTTAACGGTAAAGAAGGAATTAAAGATTAAAGATTACCCACTAAACGACCCGCCGCCATGTTTGCGTGGTTTGTCCCTAGTACTAGGATCTTTCTAGCGAAAGCAGTTTAAATAGTGCTAGGATCTTCCTTACAAGTACAACTTTTTGCATGTAAACTGAACACATAAAACATTGCACTAGGTTGATCCGCCTTCTAGAATCTTTCTGGTTGTCGGATTTTCCCCCTTGTATGTAAACAATCCTTTATTTCATGTGTATTTGGTTATAACGTAAGCGTCACGAATAAGAAGTATGTTCATGTAATCTGATTTTATTTCAAATATACCTTGAAGTTCACTCACGAACATTTTTGTAAAATAGCAATTACTTGATCCCCCTTTTTTTTCAATTCACGACATATATACTGCCTAGATCGGGGTTCAAAAAGCTGTATAAGGTTGTTCTGTATTTTAAGAGTTATGTACTAGGCAGTTCCAAGGTGTGACCATTCAATTTAAGCCACTGAGCAGTGCTTTCTTGCAATTACGCTGTACGAATCGAAGTGGTTCTTGCTCTCTAGTCCGTTGATAAAATCCGTAAGTGTGATAACTCGAATAAAAGCGACTGAGCAGTACAGTCGACTCTCGGTAACTCGAACCTCCCGCTAACTCGAAGCAATCTTCATTTCTTTACAATTTTCTTTATAATTTTTTTGAGGGTTCGAATTATCGGGAGTCGATTGTATTTTCCTTTGGTACTGTTCAGTATACTGTAAAAGGTAGTTTTTTTTCGAGTCTGTGAATACAGCTCTTGCGTATGACCAAGTGATAACTCCAGAGCATTCTCTTCAGAATTATTAAATTATTACTTTTTTGGTCAGTCTTATTATATCCGCGATCTTCTCTTGCCACTATTTTAACACCATGTTATCCTTTACCCTTTGTATTCTATTAACTGATTTGAGCACACCCTTACCGAAGCTAGGAGATATGGCTTTTGGTGACGTACACCCACTGACTGGTTTCTCACTTTCAAGGCTAACGTCAAAATTCGACAAAACGTCCACATCTCATTTTCCATTCACAAATATTACCAAGTGAAAGATCTACATACTAAAGTGAGAACTACATGTACATACTAAATAAATAGTACCATGTGAAAGTACTGCTAAAGAGGTTTCATTTGAATGGTCACACCATGGGATATCACCCACATACTTAAAATTTAGAGTGCCTGGAATTTTGATGGAATATTTTAATTAACTAACAAAATTGCCCAGTCTTTTCCGTTGAAAGAAATAAAAATTTAGATAAGGTCAAGATTCACGCTTTATTCGGGAAACGCCCAATTATCTTGGTTGTGTCCTAACGTACTGAAAAACGACAGAACTTTTCCATGGCTTAAGTGTCTTTGTCTTCAAGGCATCAAGATCTGTTAAGTCTGTTGTTGCTTATTTTGTTTCCATCGTCATGTAACCACAAGAGGGAATAAAGGAACAGAGAGGGAATCTTAGGGCGTTGGCCGGGATATGTGAAAGTTATTTTTAGAGGTTTTAATTACACTGAAGTCTAATTCGCGTGCGCGAACGCCTGAAAGCAAAACAATGCAGAATATTGTAATGGCGACACACCAAGAGAGCACAGACTCCCATTGTTCTCTCTTGACAGCACTGTTGCGACATTGTTTCGAATGGTTACAACATTGCAATGCTGTGTGGCGCTAAAAATCGTCGTTGGGAATCGTCCCTTGTAACATCACCTTAAAACTTTGTGGACCTCTTCGGAAACCAACTCCCGATTAATTCCAGGTGTTTAATTGGTCTAAAAATAAATTTGGTGAAATTCACATAATCCGAGGGTTAGACCAGACGTAGTTAATCGATAAAATCGATATCGGAAATCAATCGATATCATCGATATTAATCGATTTAATCCGCCGATTAATATCGCAAATCGATAGAAATCGAAGTTACAGAAAAAATAATTTAACGATTATTATTGATTAACAAAATCGATAACAATCGATAGGAATCGATACTAATAGATAACAATTAATAAAAGAATCATCATCGATTCTATCGGAATATCATGGTCACAACTTTTTCTCTTTATCGATTTCTATCGATCGATATCGGAAATTACTATTCATCGATGATTGATATCGATTACTATCGATTATCGGTTTATCGGTTAACTACGTCTGGGTTAGACTGGCAGTTCCCCCTCTATCCCATCATTTTCTCTTGGTAACTACTAGCAGTTCGCCTGCGCAGTAAAGTCATTATTTCTGAATAGTTCTGGCTAAGAGACCAACCATTTGACTCTTGGAGAAGGCGTTGAGTGATTCGGTTTGGACAAATAATTTTTCAAGTCTACAAATGCGAAAATTTTACTCTAAACGTTCGGTGTAAATATACATACTTTACCTCCATGTAAGTTTTTCTGTTCAAAGTTTGTTTGAAGGGTACTTTTTTTCCTCTCAAAAATCGAATGGTTGTTCCCTGAACTTGCATTTAGTTTTCGTCTTTCAATTAAGATCTTCAAATATTTTAATTAAAAAAAAACTGCTACACTTGAATACTCGTATATAAAATTGGTAGGAACCAAACACCAATCCAGAGGTATGGATTGAAGGTTATCATTAATCTTATTTACAATGAAAAGAGGATAGAACATGTAAGAGGCGATCTTGGGAAACCGTTGAACAAGCAAACACGGCACCAACTGAATTCTATAAATATACACATTACACTGACTTGTCACAATAAATTAAGTATTTGAATATGTCACTTTAAATTTAAGCTAAATTTTTCTATTTTACTGGGCCTTGCAGGATCCAAAACTGGGTCGTTTTAAAATCGATTTTCTCCTGCTTGGAGTGGAGGGTGAGTTGATATTATTAGAGTCATCTGGAGAAAAGAAATGTACATATTAAATAAAACATGGAAGGGGGCATCACCAAAACAAAGTAACACTGCTTAGGTTGCAACGATGACTATACATAACAATTACTCACCAAAGTACCCTACCTACACACCTGTGTAAGGTTAGCCTGCGAAAACAGCCGTTTCCATAACTGATGACGTAAAATTTGTCCGGAATCCGGTCAGAAGAGCTGATTGGTCGACGGAGTAGTTACATTGTTTTAGCTATTGTTTACGAATGACAGACAAAAGACAAAAGGCTACAAAGGTCAAATGTAAACGCGATGAATCTATAACAAAACAGTGATGAATATTTCTGGACTTCATTCTTCTCTAGAAGAAGCATTTGAGTTTTGCTGGAGCTCGTTTTCAGATGAACACAAAACTTTACCAAAATCGACCAAGGGAAACGCAAAATTGAACACATTTGCTTTTGGAACCCCATGACTACTACCCTGAGTCGCAGACGTTCCTCCTGGCGAAACGTCGCCAGCGGCGAGGAGCGAGGAGAAACGGCCGTTTTCGCAGGCTAATGTAAGATCACTTCACTAAAAAGCAAAGTTCGACTGTAAACAGAAATTGGCTGAGAAGAATTGCAGTCGTTTTAAGGACACCCGCTTAGGATTCCTAAGCCCAGGATCCCGGATTCAAGGAACAAAAATTTATCGGATTCCGGAGTCCGGATACTCTTACATGGGGCGGTTTTTGGCGCAGGCTGTAATCCATTCCTCGCTAGAATGACTGGGAAGTTTGAGGTAAGAAAAAAAAAAAAAAAAAGAAAGAAAAAAACACGTAAATAGCGCGACTTATCGGCATCGTTCTTCCTTTGTCATGTTTCCTGGAAATTTAAACCGTGCCAGGGCTCATGCGTAATCAAGATACTCGTAGCGTTACACCATCTATAGAATCAACACCAAGTACTGATGCTTACTCAGAAAGGCCTTTGATCACAGCGACCGCGAGTGACAACTGTGTCATGAGGTTACGTAAATGAATGCACTCCTAAATTGCTTTGATGACAGCGCACTTGGGTAACATGAACAATATATCGCTTCCAAGTCGGACGGTCTCTAGATTTAAGAACCAAAGATAGTCCACAAATAGTCTGGAGAGCACATGGTTTTTGATGCATATTCCGTAAGTAGTCGCTTTCTACGAGAACTGTCGTTTTCATATCTTTCGCTCTCGTTCGGCTAATCTAATTACGAACATGTCTACAGATAAGGGAGTGAGTGAAAGAGTGAGTGGCTCATTTGCAAATCGCAGCTACCACACCACAACAACTCGTAGTTTAAAGATGGCTCTAACAATCCGTGGAAGATTTATCACAAGGCCCCCCAAATTGGTATGAAACAAAATCAGTTCTCGGATTAGGCAGAGAGAATTTGCTTTCCTTTACCCGGTTGTTCAAACGTCGGCACCTGCCACCAAGTGCGAACACAGCCTTAAGTGATAATCATTTTCATACCTGCTGAAAAGGACTCCTCATTGTAACTGAGTGGCTCGGGGGTCTCCTCGTCCGGGCTTGAATTATGTAGATCTTCAAGGTATGGAACAACACTCATGCTTCGGAGAAAATCGTCTTCCACAAGCGGAGGAATTGGAACGAAATCGTTGGTTTTAAGGTGGTTCTTACAAACCCATCTATGAGTAAAAAATGAAAAACCTTTCGATGTTATTTATGATACTGTCACTGTGCTAAACTATCTTCCTTGCTTAGGTGGAAAACCACTATCTTTGTTATGACATAGCTAGTGTCCGACTAAAATTACAAGCACCAAATTCATACTTGGAACTTACACGCGTCCAAAGGAGGAAAATCACAATCAGAAGTGAGATAAATATCTCACGAGAAATTTTAGCTGGATGTTACTAAAACGGGGATCGGGAAGATTAAAATTGGAAGGAAACAGAGAATAGGTAAAAAAAAAAAAATAGTTACTAGTAGGGCTAGGGAAGCAAGGGATGGCGCAATGGTGAGAGCGCTCGCCTCCCACCAATGTGGCCCGGGTTCAAATCCCGGCGTCCACGCCATATGTGGGTTGAGTTTGCTGGAGGTTTTTCTCCGGGTACTCCGGTTTTCCCCTCTCCTGAAAAACCAACATTTCCAAATTCCAATTCGACCAGGAATCAGGTAGACGAAGAACCACTTTGCGGATGTGCTACCTCCAAATCATTATTTATTTATTTATTTATTTTTTTTTTAACTTCCAGTTCCCCGTTCCTCGTTTTAGTAACATCCATTTGTGGATGCCGTGTGTGCCGAGACAACCAATGTGACTGGTCACAATACAGTCAACACTTACGAAATATTTCTGGCTCCGGTTCTGTGCCGCTAGCTATCGTTGGTTCATTATACGTTTCTGGGAAACTGCCCACCTACCCTTCCCCTATCGTTCTTGTCTGAAATGACATCCGTCTCTTCGCCCCATCCCCAATCGCCTTGCCGCCCGTTGGGGGTTAGGGCGAAGAGATGGATGCCATTTAAGACTACTATCCTTCATAATGATCCCGGTAGTTTTCCATGTCGGCACGAGAAGCCATTCGGTATAATATAGATATAACGTGAGTAGACACGCCAGTAAGTGTGCAGCTGTCGAAAGGTTAACTCCTTCACGTGTCGCGCCACGCCCTAAATAACCAAAGAAATGCTGAGTGTACCAATAGGCAACCTTACCTGTGTCGGCGTATCTGCTGAATTGCAAGTCTGTTGTCTGGGTTTGCATTTAGCATACCTATGAGGATGAATAACAGGTTACAGTCACACCTGTATTAAGTTGTCACCCCTGGGGAATGGCTTACTGTCCCATAATAAAGGTTGACCATTATGAAGATACATAATGGCCTCAAAACGTTTCTTCTCCTAATTGCACTCAAAAATATAATAATAATAATAATAATAATAATAATAATAATAATAATAATAATAATAATAACAATAATAATAATAATAATAATAATAATAATAATAATAAATAAATACGGATAATAAAAGACCACACGCTATACACACCCAGTAGACAGTGTATCTGCTGCTCGAGAACGGTACATCTTGTCAAATTGACGCGTACGCTCAACAGACTGTGACAGCTTATTACAGGTCAGTTTTACATAAGAGAAATGATTTCCGAGACTTTAGTAAGTGTTTGCTTGATAGACGGTGACCGCTCAATACAGGTTTGACTATACTACGTTTACGGTATCTGCCTCACAGATTCCATTTTGCCGTACGTCCGTTCCGTTACATTCACCATGATACCAACCCTGGTAGATCACATTTAAGGGCCCATCAAGAGCCGCAAACCGCCACAGAAGGCAAAAAGACCGACAGCTGTAAGTTATATGTCAAAATAGGTTAAGTCTATCGCTTAAAATAAACAACGCAGACCTTAGATTCGATGACGAGGACGACCACGAAGACGAGATTTTGACTTAATTTTTTTTCAATTATTCTCAAAAAATAATCACCCCGGAAAGGTTCATTGTACGTTTCTCCAGCAGGAAACGTTCACACAGTAATTTTTATTGAATGAGGTTAAGAACTCTCGCAATCGCATAATAAAACCTCTAACATTTGTAACTTGGTTCGGTTACTACGACGTTTTTGCTAAAACCTGTAATAGAATGACGACGGCTACCACTGTTTTTCCCGCCAAAAAGACATTGGTTCAAGCGCGCATACTACTTAGTCACTAAGTCAGTAAAAAAATCTCGTTCTCGTAGTTGTCCTCGTCTTAGAATCTAAAAGTCTCTGAAAAAAAGAAAAAGAAATACTATCAGTCTTTTTTTTTTTCCTCAGTACCTCTCAATAGATCAGCTAAGGTATCGTCTACTCCTTCAGGGATTGTAAACTCGCCCTTTCCTATGTTTTCAAACAGTTTATATATATTCTCTCCTTCAAAAGGATATTTCCCTGTAGTTATGTTGTACCTAGCGAATGAAAAAAAACGATAACAATGCAATTTAACCACAGGAGGGTGTGCTAGTTCCTCTTGTAAGGCTAACGTCAAGATAGAACACTCCGCAAAGTTCACGTAAGGTTCCACGGGCAACAGAAAAAAAATGCTTGGATAACAGACCGGGAGAAGCCGAACAAACTTACATTTCGAACACCATGACTACCAGCTTAATTATGTAAACATTAAATTACTCAATCAACAGACAACAGTATGGCATTTCTGTCCTTCAGAGCAGACGTCTCTCTAGCGAGGAGTGACTCCGGAGAGACGGCTGTATTGGCAGACTAGCCACTTCCAAGGTTAAAAACAACAGCGACAACAAAACACCATAACAAATAACTATTTTCAGTTTATCCATAGATATGAAACTATTGCCCTATTCATACCAACTAAGCATGTTTAATTAAAATAAGATTTAAAAAAAAAATGGAAAACAGTCACAGAAAAATAGAACACAGGCTTTTCCACATAATTCAAATGAATTTAATGTGTTATGTAAATACGATAAACTATCCATCAATAAAAGTACAGCTTTTACAAAGAAAACAAATTTCAATTTGTTAAACTAGCTAACCTTACACTAGTTAAACTACTTTAATTTGTTAAACTAGTTAACCGTGTTTAACCAGACAGCTTTTAAACATGCTTTGGTGTGAATAGGGCATTAATTACACCTACAATGTAACTCCAGCTGCCCAGATATCCACTTTGAATCCTGAGAATGTTTCCAGACCATTAGCGATCTCTGGAGGTTGAAAAGCAGGAGAACCCTGACTTGTTCTACACGTATCATCTTTTGCAAAAGGACCCAACCTCTACAAAAAATAAATATGATAGAAAACAAAACTAAATGCTTCTTGTTTCAAAATAAACGCACCTTTTCGGCACTCTTTAGGATTAAATTAAAAAAAAAAAAATGATCGTCACAATTTTTTTTATATCAGTTTGTTATTGGTCTTTGCTTTTGACAAAGCTGTTTAATCTCCACATTAACTATGTTATTAGGCTCGATTTCTGCGGTCTCCTGAGCCTGGTCTTAGGAGTACGAGCTCATTTTCTAGAACAGCACCTGGTATTGTCAAGCCTAACCATATTATGCATGATGCTTTTTTTCTAGCAGGCAACCAATGGAAAAGTCAACTCAAGACTTTTGTTTTAATTCCTGTAGTTTACATGTATATTACATTATTAACATGGGTCTAAAAGGAATTAATGGGGAAAATAGGTTTTTTACAATGTGCATGCTTACTTACCTCTGCAACTCCAAAATCAGATATTTTTAGTGTTCCATCTGTGGCTAAAAGTAAATTTCCTGGCTTGATATGTAGATATTGTCAAGGTAACCAAAGTCTACAAATTTTAACAGTTCCAGCCAAATTTTAATGCTCTAATGCATGCGGCATTTCGTCCTAAATGTCACTAAGCAAGTTAACCTGAACTCGTGAATATTCATCCAATATGATTAATTCATTGACCGTTCAATAATAGCCTTAACACACTGGTTTGCTTCATTCTCACTAGTGATTTATTCATTGAATACTGCTATCTAATGTTTGAACTACCAGGGTCTGGTGGTAGAGTTGTTTGAATGTCACACAGCGTTATTGAACAGATTCTCTGCTAGTAGAGGTCTGTCTCGGCAAGACAAAAATAATAATGACTGAGATACAAAGAAAGTCAGTTTTACAGCTTACCAAAGGGCTAGTAAAAAACATACAGTAATTTGCCACTTCAACTTACTGCAAAATCCACTGGTTGGGCTATAGGACACGACTTTCTTTGCACCCAGTGTGACTATAAAGAGCACGACCTCCGCTTTTTTTCAAAGGAAACAAAAAGGATAATAGAATCAAAAGAACTTCCCAGCTGTTAGATTCCTTGCTTACAAATTGCATATACCCAGCTGGTTGAAATCTTAGTAACAGCCCACCTTAGAAATACAATACGTTACTAATAATGGTTTGTATTGAAGGAGACAGTTCTTTTAGAACAAGAGTTTACATGTAACTTGCAAAAGGATATCTTTGTGGACTATTCCTTGACAGTGCAAGTACTCCAGACCATCTAACAACTGGCAAAAATATCTAAACCAAACAGGAAAAGAAATAACATCATATTTTAATCTGGAAGTGGCAGTGATATTTCTAGCGAAAAAAAGAATTTTCAGGGTGTTTGGCATTATAGGCTTCATTGTAAATTAGCACTGAAAGCAGTGCCTCTGAAATCATTATGTTGCTGTCAGTCTCATGACAATAAGACAGTGTTGCATGTGAAGACCTTTTCTGGTGCATAAGAAAATATCTTAGAAACACTGCATAATGTTCCAATATATTTCACACCCTATCAGAAGGTGTGAATGAGGGAGGAAGATCCTAGTACCAGGACGATCTTAGAAGGTGGGACAACTTTTCGTTGGGTTTACATGCAGAAATTTTTGTCAGTGTGGTTAACAATAGAGAAGGAACTAAAGATGAACAATTACCCACTGAACAACCTGCCACCATTTTTGAGTGGTTTGTCCCTAGTACTAGGATCTTCCCAGCAAAAGCAGTTTACTTGGTGCTAGGATCTTCCTACCCCTCAGCTATGGAGATCCTAACACCAGCAACAAGTACAACTTCTTGCATGTAAACTGAATACAGAAAACATATGGTGCTAGGATGATCCGCCTACTAGCATCTTCATGGTGCTAGGATCTTCCTTCCCCCATGTAAACAGCCCCTAAATATTACTTACCCATGGGCCTGCCAAATGGGAAACTTATGTTGCTCAACTTTATCCAGCATCTCTTGTAATTCACCCACACAGTATTCCATTATCATGTACCTTAGCTTGTTAAGGTCTGAATAATGTAAATCATGTCATTACTAATTTTTGTTACCACCGACTCTCATGCATAGTCATTGCAGTGTTTTAGCTGTTGTTGTTGTTGTTGTTATTGTTGCTTTCACTATTTTAAAGCTCTTGTGTACGTATGTAACTCATGGTTTTGATAAAGATGTTCCAGTTCCCTGGTGATTTCCTCAGCTCTTAGGTTAAAATTAAAGGCTCAATTATTGCAAAAAAGAAATGAAAATTATCAAAAACAAACACACAAATGGACAAAAACAAAAACAAAAATAAAACAAAAAACAATTGCTGTTCCATTCTCAGAATCATGGCATTCTAAATCTCTAAAAAGGTGTGGTTCTACTTCTCTCTAATAATTGAACAACACTAAATTCACCTAATTTTCAGAAGTTTGACACACAGAATGTTTCCATATATCCCATGCTCATAAGACTCATGAAAGATTAAGCCCACCTCCACTTGGATCAGAAAATAAAACTTTGAACAAAATTGCATCTGGTAACCTTGTAAAGGGTATTCTGATTCTAGTACAGTCATTTCCCTTTTTTTTCCTTAAGCAATGCATACCCCCTTCAAACAGCTCAGAAAAGTTAAGCCTTCCTCAAGTGGGCTTAACCCTTTTAAATCCCAGGGTGAATGATGGAGACTTGCCTGTTTGAAGGTTGTTCTAATTTTTTAAGTCTGTGGAAGAAACCCTGTGGTGTGAAGATTGAAATAAAACCTCTTTGGCACAATTTTTCCGAGGTTACATTTGCTTTTCAGCATTTTAAAACTGAAATTTGGACATTTTGTTGAGTTTGACTCTGACCACTTGTGGGAGTTTAAGGGTTAATTGGGTATTACAGTGAAAACTAGTCAAGCAAGGATATTTCAGAATCCCACAATCATGTGATAAAGCTGTGATTTTGTATGGATAAATTTTGATGCTAGCCAAACAAACAAGATTATTCATGTCAAGATGTGAAGAAATTCAATTATCAAACCAATTAGTTTAAGTTTGTTATAATCTACCGCTTTACATTGTTAAAGCATTCAAGGTATCGAAACCAACCACTGCTAATAAAGAAACAGAATTTAGAATAACTTGAGAAACACGATAACACCCAAATCATTGAGTTGATTTTTATAGAAGCTGAGAATAAACCTGTGTATGTGTATAAGACAGTGCAGATAAAAGCGCGAGCATACACTCGTCGGATATTATATTATCACAAATACATCATGTTATATGTATTTTTCCTGTGATTGTTTTCTGTAAAGGATACATCTTTTGTTTGTTGTCGTCGTAAATCACATCATAAAGTTTTATAATATTCGGATGGTGAAGACGTCTTAGCAGTTGAATTTCTCTGTTGACAAGAAGACAAATACTTGAAATTTCATGGTGTTAATCACACTCAATTAAACTCATTATTATTTAACAACTGTGTAACTTTATTTTCCAGGACGGCAACGAGATCAACTTGGAAACAAATTTTACACGGATCAATTCTGAGCCTTCACCTTTGAACATTCTGTTCTCCGTTTGGAATCCTTCGAAGTTTTCTTCGTTTCATAATTTTCACCGCGCATCGACGAAGATTCTCGCTGTCCAACATTTCCTTCACTTTTCCGTAAGAACCTTCGCCCAAGGCATCCCCCATCAAAAATTTTCCTATAAGCTTAGCTCTCTTTCGCCGTGGCTGGTAGATGATTTGATCCGAATCAACCCGATGAAAGAAAATATCTGGGTCACCCTGTCCAAACAACATAGGACTGTCAACCATGTCCGCGAGGAATCCATCACTGCCGCCGACTACAAATAAAGGCTCAACACCGTTCTCTACAACCATACTATCCACCATTTGAATGCATTAGTCTCCAGGAGCAAAGACTACAACTACTGTGAGTGACAAGTCATTGTATTACTTCATTCTTCTCTAAAGTATTACAACCACTGCACGCCGGAACTGCAATCTCCGCTGCTGCTTCTGCGGCCATTTTGTTTTGGATGATTGCGTCAGAAACAAGCTGCTGACGTCATTCGTGCCCAATCTACGCTCAACTAACGAGACCATGACGACGCGCCGATGAATATATGAGATTTTTTGTCCATTTCACTTTCTTTTCCCTATTTATTTATTTATTTATTATTTTAAATTCAAAGTTTGTGTGTATGTGTGTGAGTGTGTGGTGGAGACGTTGCATTATACAAAACACATTCAAAAATTCCTTACCAACAGAATGACCACTCTTTTGGTTAAGCCTCAATAACTCATTGAGCGGTTCCTGGACAACTTCCTAATTCCTCGAATAGTTATGCTCAGTGTAGCCTGCGAACGACAGACGTATTTCCGGTCGTCGCTTCTCCCTCTCCAAAAAATAATATAGAGAGAAGCGACGATCGGAAATACGTCTGCTGTTCGCAGGCTATGCTCGGTATTGCAATGCGATTTACTAAAGTCTTCTTAGGGGCCTACCATTAAACTTTTGAGTGGGGTAGGGGTATGGGTGATTTCAGGATAAAAATGATATCCTGCAAACTGATTTCGACGAAAGAAATTCTTGCACTGAAAAAAAAAATGGCGTATAATGCTGAAAAAAACAAACAAACAAACAAAACAAACACAGGAAAGTCATACAAAAAATTCTATCTCCAGAGGTTTGGGGAAAAAAGAATCTTACCCAAACCAAATCACCCATATCCCCCGCTTCCACCCCTCAAAAGTCAAATGGTCGACCCTCATTCAGTGAGAATTCAGAGTCATGTGCAAGCTTTCAAACAAGAAGAACAAGACGTCTTGTGGAGAAAAACAACAACAACAACCAGAACTTCCTATTGGGGAATTTAGAACTGCAAGGGCAATGTGTATGTAAACAGAAGAAAGTGCCGTTATTTACCAAGAGTTTACTGTAGAGTGACGCTTTGTGGGATCCCGCGGTTCCAAAAATAATGCCGCAAGGAATTTATCTAAGTGCAGCAATCGACGGAGGCAGGGAAGTGATCTGCATGAATCATGATAGATTACAGTAAATTCCGTCGGATATGAATGCTAAGTTGGAAACCACGAAAAACGTGGGATCGTATTTTTTCAAATTGTGACTCAGAGAGCGGTGAAAGTGCAACCCAACTCAAATGAGATTTCTCGAAGAAAATCTACACTAATGTTCAAATACATTAGTCCCTTATCGGGAAAGGTTCCTCTAGGATTTAAGAAGAGTAGGCCTGTGAGAAAGGAGCCAAGTAAAATTCGCTAAAATTGTGGTTTTATTAATATTAGTTTTGATTCATTCACACGAAAGTGGAAAGCGAAAGGAGCCGCCAGTGATAGGAGCGGGGCGGGGTGTATCTTCTTTCCTGCCCCTGATTCACGCGTTCTCTCACGGCCAGCTTTGCTCGCCACTCGAAATGGTGCGGTTGCTCGCAGGTTATGGTTTTGACGAGCAAATAAACGGCAATGGATACAAACGTAAGGCAAGTAAACTTAATCAAACATCTCTCAGCACAGTACGTGGAACTTTATATAGAATCAGGGGTAAGCTGCGCATCTTTGTAGACTTTCATACGTAAGTTTCTGTATTGGGTCATAAAAAACGTTAGTAAAACACCTTTCTGTGCTACGCTGACAAAAGCAATAAAATACAAGAACAGTCGATCGTTTCTGATATTGCTTAATGACTGATTAAGGAAACATCTGTCAAGAATTCAAGGATTCTCTTTTGTTTGATATGCAACAAACGGTCTCACAACTGGTTATGACTAATCCTAATCTCAATAGCCCTAAGTAGTATGAATCAGTCATGGATTTTCTTTGTCATAGCACGTCGCACTTCCGTGTATAGAACTCTTCAATTCTCGACAGAAACCAGCGAGGATTGACGGTGAAAAGTTCAGCAAGATTGGTTAAGACATTTCAGTAAGAACTGCTTAGTAACTCAACGGATGAATACAGAAAGCATTAACGTCTACGCGAAGTCTTTCAAGGTTTTAAGGGCTTGAGGCCAAGCTTAGCCCTGAGTTCATTTGCCTCCTTAATCTCCAACTCTTCTTTACTCATTCCACTGTTCTCGCTTTCCTTCTCTCGTTTCTTGTCGGATTTGTCCGACTTCTTCGATTTCTTTGACGACTTGTCCGGAGACCTTGATCGTGACTTCGACTTTGAACGGTGACGCCGACGATGAGGCGAACGCGACCGAGAGCGTGATCTGGAATGACGACGATGCGGAGAACGACTTCGGCTTCTGTGTCCGCGCCTTTTGGGAGAAGCACTAAAATGATAAAAGACGCAAATAATCAATTTATAAGACAATTGTCGGATAACAAAGGTCACTACCATTACTTCTTAACCGAGCGATCTCTCATTTTCCTGAATTTCCTTCTCAACTAATCAATAAGTATGGCGGTAGAGGTCATCTTCCGTTACTTTCTGCCCCTGCCCCCCTCCCCCTCCCCCCTTTATGCAAATTTGCCTACTAATTCCATATAACAAATAGGTCATCTTCACATTGACGGCATCTGCAGACTACAACTACAGGGAGAATTCGTGCCGTTTTTGCTTTCCTGTTTAAATTGGTCAACCCCGCAGAGGTATAACAAAAGCTCTAATTTTAGCCTGAAGCGCAGGCGTCTTTTGGGGGCGAAAGCTGCTTGTTTATGTTCGTAATTGTTGTAGCCGCCATCTTTGGTTATTTCCTCCTCTCTTTTGGAGTTTCAACATGGCGCTTTCGCGAGCAAAAACATTCGCACCCGAAGAAAAGGCCTGCACTGCAGGCTGCCCTAATCAGCAAATGGGTTCCATGCCCCTTTAACTCTGTAACGTACCTTCGTCGACGACGACGGGGTGATCTGGACCGACTGCGTCTATCGGGAAAATAACAAATAAATAATAAACAAACAAGCAATGAATGAATAAATAACTTTTAAGGTAAATCTTCGAACACTCGATTCGTTAGTGACTACATGTATAATGGGAAAGCCTAAGAATCATTTGTGTCATTAGTATCAACTCTTTCTTAGCTTACTTCCTGCAGTCTGGATAAGAATGACCAAGCATAAAAGCTCGCTATTTTGCGTATCTTTTGTCTGACGACGTACTGTACAGTCTGAGACTGCTACACCAAGGAATCTTCCTTTAGTTCAAGGTTAACCCTTTAAACCCTAAGATCAAAATTTGAATTCTCATTTGTTGCCCCTATTCACTTCCTACACAAGGAGTGCGGAGAAGTTGATGAAATATCAAGGAAATTCATCTTGTTTGATCATGTCCGCAATTTTCATGACCACTGTTTTACAAAGCACATATTACTAGATATTACAAGGAGAAATTTGATGCTGATCACTCTTAGGGCTTAAAGGGTTAATGGCGTCACTCTCGGCCCACGCTCTCGTTTCCCCGCTACGTCATTTCGCCCCGGTTACTTAGTTCCCTATTTTCGAGTCATTTAGCGCGCTTCAAATGTAATGTTCCTCTTTCTATATGCCGTAAAGCAAACCAAGCGCCCTTCAAGTGTAATATTCCGCGTTCTTAAAGCCATAAACTATGACAAGCAAGCTTCAAATAAAACATTCCTTGTTCTAAAATAGGGGGATAAGTAACCGGGGCGAATTGACTTGGGGGCGAAATGACCGTAAAGCGTGCCCACACTACTGTTACTCTAGACTTATCACAGTCTCCTCGTCATAAATGTACACTGTACCTGTGGTGTGCTGGAGATCGGCTGCGTCTTCGACTTTTGTCGTGATCACGGTATCCACGCTTTGGTGAAGGACTGCGACTTCTGCTTCTCCGACGTGGGGACTTTATAAAACATGGAAAGATCACTGTGAGTGACTAAAAACGATGTGAACAGTGCAAAAGGAGAAGGCTGGTTAACTAATGAGTACTGAGTAAAAATCAAGCGAGGGAGTACATTAATTTGACCCCTTAGCAAAAGTGAAACCCTCAGCTGTTTGAAGCTGCTTGGAGTTCATAAATAAGCCCTTTTTTGCGTGTAACTTCACAAGTCGATGTAAACCTTTCTTATACTTTAAAACGATAGTTTTTTCTGCGCCTTCCCTGGTCGCACAGCTCTCTCAGACCTCGCCTCCCTGCAACGCCAAGGCGCGAAAAACTAAAGACGAAAATTATGTTGTAAATAAAGGCACACCCTTGTAAGAGTTGAAAGGGATGTTTAAAGGGGGCCTTCAGTGTATCTTTCTTAAATACTTTATTGCAAGAAATTCTATGCTATAAGCACAACATTCCTGCGGGTAATTTAGCACTGAAACCTAACATGGGGTAATGATACCAGTGGCGCATCTAGACCTTCGGGTGTTGGGGGGGGGGGGAGGGTGGTGCGGTGTCCAAAAAAAGTTTTGCGGTCCTTTGGGCCGGAGTCTGGATTCGCCACTGGATACTGTGTCTGGAAAGAACATCCATTGTACCTGTCTCTCCTCCTCTTCCTCTGACTCGGATTCCATGTCTTCTAAATCATCGTCAAGAAGGCTTCGCTATGTGCACGTAAGACAAAACAGAGTTATCTACCTATCAAAATATATGTACACCTACCTCTATATACAACTACACTTAACCGCATGCTTAGGTTGCGTCTTTTGATTACTAATGTACAACCAGAATGCGTCAATCTTTTGTTTTATTATTATTATTCGGGATTACCAATTCACGTAAAAACTTTCAGTACAAAAGTTCGATGCTCAGATTTATAAAACAACAACCGCCGCACAAACAGAGTGTGGTCTGCCTGATGTGCCGATGTTCCTGATTTTATTCCTTCATGTACTTTTATTTCTTGGAAAATTTCCACTTTTTTCATTGCAATTAGGTGTATTTTACCGTTACTTACCCTTGGTTCCAGCTGGTTATTGTTTTCCAATGCCTGCCGCTTCTGAAAAAGCAAATACATAGCTGATAAGTTGCTTATGAAACTGTACAATTTTGTTCAGGCTGCTAAACGTAATAAAGGATTATTTCACGTTCAGATTTTAGGTATTTATCAAATGAATGACCATTTTTTTTTAGATTTTCAACCTTTTATAGAGGCCTTTCATAAACAAAGAAAATACAAATGTATTGTTGGAAACCTCCAATTATAATGAAAAGCTACAGTGTAGGTTCACAAATGTCAATAACAGCTAACGTTTGCAGTCATACCAGAGGGTAAAAAATGTCTTTATTCCCTCGTCTTCCTAAATCCGCTTTGTTTTATAAATCTGACCAAACATTGTTTGAGAGATTGAGGGTCAATTTATGTTTTTTCTCAACCACCACACAATTCATGAATGGTTCTGAATCAGCTAGTAATTGCTCACTCTTTCTATACTAACTACACAGTGACACGTTTTTACAAACAAAGTGAAGGAAAGGTGCCCTTTGGACCAGTGAGGCACAGATACATGTACAGTGTAATAGGAAGGATTGCCCTGGTTTAAGCAGCAAGAGGCACCTATTGGAATTGTCACTCTCCCTGGACTTAATGCTTGTCCTCTCCGGTAACTATTTACACTGTATTAACCTAAATGTGGGTGGAGAGAGGTCGAGTGGAGCAAAGTGTTGTTTGTCTGAGCAAAAGAGCATGATGGCTTTAATGCTTGAATCTACACCTATAGAACTATGGTCCAAATCGTTTACTGCAAGACCATTCCTTACATGTCCACTTGAAAAATTAACTTGTATGTGCGTAATGCATAAAAATGGAATATTTAACATTTTTTCACAATGGTCTACTTAAATGCAGATTTGTGCCCTATGATAAAGTGCATGATTGTGAAACTCATTACATAATGTACAATGTAAACATGTGGCTAAAACAGCACCCAATGAATCGTTTTGAACGCAGATGATGACTTTATCTTAAGGCATGTGCATTTCTACTATGGATGGGTGCGTCCAGTATCTGAACAACTAAACACCGTTACCTGAATGCGTGGCAAAATCACATCACAGGCTCTCTCTTCCCTGAGCAGCTCATCAATAAACTCATCCATGTGCGATAGCTCCATTTCTTTTAAATTGAAAATGCAAAAGTTTAAATAACAACAGGCAATTGGCATGATGACGCCATTTTACTTCTACCAACATAATCCTTTAGCGTTTTGCTTTCTTGAGCTAATTAGGACTGCTGTTATTTAAAGCTCACTGGGATTTCTGAATTAAGATGTGAAAGGAAAAACAAAAGGGATTCTGTAACCTGAGTAAACAGCCAATATTTTGTGACATTTCCACTGGAATTGTAACAAATCAATTGTAATCAATACTGCTCCAATTTTTTTGGCAGGCTGGTTGAAACAACTTCAGCTATTACATGCTAGCTACAGCTTACTTGGATGGCAAGCTGTAAAACTGACTTTCTTTGCACCCTGCTACAGGCAGGGTTGTCATTAAAGCCGGGGCGATTTTCCCTGGCTACTAAGAGAGTAGCCCCGCCTAATTTTATCGGAAAATAGAAGAAAAATAGAACCAAAAGAAATCCCTGGCCATTTGATTCCCCGCCTACTTGTTGTATTTACCCGGCAACTTGAAATCTTGGTGACAACCCTGTACAGGTGTAGGTGAAAAAAAAATTAACCTGAAATCAAATTTGATCTGTACAATATAACTCATACGCTGTAGTAGTAACATGTAACTCCAAAAGATTAACCAAGTTTTGTTTCTGTGACACTATTCAGTAAATTTATTATTTTGCTACTAATTTACATAATCAGGTTGTAATACATGTAGTAACCTCCACTGTAATAGAAATGTTGATACCATATTTATTCGAATAAGCGCCCAACCTCGAATTAGCGCCCACCTTGAATAAGCACCCATCCTAAAGGCAGAAAAAGTTAATAAGTGCCCAGCCTCAAATAAGCGAACACCCCACCCCACTCCCTCCCACAAAAACTCAAATAAGAGATAATAAGAGACCCTCCCGAAGATGGAGTTTTCTTCAGAGTATTTTACAGAAACCTTGCTTTTGTTACACTTTCGCTTTTTGTTATTAGCATTTACTGTTTTGTTGCAAAATAAACTACTACACTTGTTGAGAATAGTGAAAATTTAATAAGCACCCAGCCTCGAATAAGCGCCCACCTTGCATAAGTGCCCACTCTCAAGGTCCAAAAATTTAATACCGCCCAGGGCGGTTAATTGAATAAATATGGTAAAACTGTTTATGACACGTTTATACAATACATACAGTATCATTCTGTTACTTACTTCCCATTTTGTCCTTTCTTCTGATTTTCCTGTAGTCATTGTAGAGTGGCTCCAGATAGTTATAACAGTCAAGTGATGTCCCTACCAGTCTCATGTACATGGCTCCCAAAGCTCGCACATATCTAAAGAGTTACACAGTATCAAACTTAAGCAAAGAATATTCAAGGCACCACTAAGTACACTTTATATCACATTATATCACATTTCATAAAATAACTAAGAAAAAGTACGTGCACTCTGATTGGCGAGAGGAGTATGTAAACATGGTTGTAGCATCAAGATATTTTGCTTTTCGCACGCTAATCAGGCAAGCACGAATTTGAAAATGTTTTTGAGTTCAAAACTCCACAATTTTACTTTAGTTACCCATTCCTTCGTCGGCTGAAACTTGGAAAATCGTTACAAAGAAGGTGTGTCAATTTTTCTTCGCTTAAGCTGACATTTTAAGTGAGAAAAATCCATATTTTGGAGAGCATCTTTTTGCAAAACAACAACTGATTACGCGGGCAAGACTTCAAGGACAAGACTTTGCAACTGGTAAGAATTTCTCTCTTAATCAGAGCCATACAAAGAGTTTTGCGTTTTCTCGGGAAAGTTATTTTATAAAAGAAATAGAAAACTTTTTTCCTGAGTTTGCATAGGCTGGTATAAACACACGAGGCGTTGGGAGAATTCTCGACAGTTATGCAAACCCTTGACTTCGTCTCGGGTTTACATAACTTTTTCAAATTCTCCCAACCCCTCTCCAGAGTTTGAGCCAGGCCGCGCCATTGCGCCAATCCCGCACTGCAATTGAAATTGTCCCTTAAAAAAGCGGCCAAGGGGACAATTTGTCCCCTTCAAAATTTAGGGAAAAAAACTTGAAAGGAAGCACACACAAAGAGATTTAGTTCAGTACAGAAATTGCAAGCTAAAACAGAACATGGAAAGCATATTTTATCATTCTAAAGTCACGTTTCAGTCATGCTCTACTGAACACATACATTTCATGCTCTAACAGCTTCTAACTAAGCATGGTGAACGCGCCTGGCAATCGTTAACATGTCACATCGAAAACGTGTTCGAACATTAGAAAGCTGTTTCGTTCCAAATCAAAGCCAGAGTGAATCAGAGAAAAATGATACAGAAGAAGAACAGTGTATTAATCAGGAAGAAACGGATGAGGATTGAAGGAAACCCAAAAAAATCACGAGATCACACGTGGTTGTGTTATGAAAAGGTCTCAGGCGATGTTCAGCTATTTTTGTCAGAAATCTAAGAAGACAAACCTCTTTGCATCAGCAGAAGGGTGTACAAATTTCTGTCCCCCTAAAAATAAAAACGTCCCCCAAAATTTTAGCCAAGGGGACAAATTGTCCCCCAGTGATCAAATTCTAGCTCAAACCCTGCCTCTCGTGTTTATATCAGGCTATGCAAACACAGAAAACGTTTTCTATTGCTTAATTCAATCATTAGAAATAAGAAATGACTTTTAGAATACTGTTTCCTAGCAATGAGAAGAATTTAGCTCAGTTTGACACCTCATACAGCATTAATTTTTTGAAGTTTTAATTTATGTTAACTTTTTAATGATCAATGTTTCAAAATTTAATGGCAGTATTTAAAACATGAATGAAAGGAGAGACTGCACCATCCACATGTGTTTCACTACACCTCAATGAATATACAGTCAAGTAATAATATTGTTGTCTGGCTTACTTGTAGTCCTCATTCTTGATAAACTCTACAACAATTTCCTTTTCAGGCTGAATTTGTAACATTTTCAACACCAGGCAAAGGAAAGGTGTTGGCTTAATGTTTCCTCCAAATGTGCCTCCAACATGATCTATCTCCATGGCTTTGTCTACCAATAACTCAGCTAAGTGTTAAAAAAAAGAAAAGAAAACTCAGCACCCTAACACTATGTACTGGTACATGTACATTGCACATGCAGGATGTCCAGAGATAAATTAAATCACCGTTAAGAAGAGCATTGCACGTAGTAATATTTCCACAGAGCACTATGCATGAAAAAGGAAAACTTAGGTAAACAATGTACATGTATGCAACACTCTTTCTGTAAACAATCAGTTTTTGTAATTTTTGACCAACTTGCTTACAAGCAGCTTCACAAACCGCTTTGGTAGAAAACACTGCCTGCACATTCTAATAATTCGATTAGGTGTTCGCACACAGCCCAAAAGACAACAACATAATATTGGCACCGTGTCCAGAATTAAATATGACAGAATAACCACATGTTCAAACTTCACGTAGCCTGAGAAAACAGCCAACATTTCCTAAAAAAACCACTGGTTTCCTTGCAAAGTACCAAGATATTCTATACAGATATTCCATATTGTTGACGTGTCACTACACAGATCTGGGTAGTGCTTCTTATTGGTTGAAGCAAAATTTTAACCACTCTGAAACACTACCCAGATCTTGGTCATGACACATCATCAGCATCGAGTTTCTGTTCTCGTTTCTCAGACATCTTGGGAGACCAGTGGTGGCATTGCAAAAATGTCAGCTGTTTTCTCAGGCTAAACTTCAGGATGCAAATGCTTTTCAGAATGTTTAATCTTGACATACATGTACATGTAATGCTGAGTAATAATTTTAATATACATTTCTACAGATGTTACAGGTCAAATTAATTTGGATTTCATGCTAAAGTTTTTTTAACCTACACTGTTGGTTGATTTTCGATTTCTTTTGTTCTTTGGGACTAGGAGACAAAGGCAGTCATAGATAATCAACCCAGGTTAAATCAAAATTTACTTGAAATCAAATGTGACCTACACAATGTGCACACTGTATGTAATTTCTGTGAATGAAGAATCATTGCGGACAGTCAGTAGGTTTTTCATTTAGAGCCGCTTTGTGGTTTTGGCGGCCAGTGATTTTGTTTACACGAAGTTTTCTGAGATCAATGTACAGTTATAGTTCGACCTTCTTGTTATTTTCACCATCAAGTGTAATGATTCTGTTAGCTTTTCTTTCTGGTTTCCTTGTTTTTTTTTTATTCGTTAAGGACCAAATAGCTTCTTTTCAATTAAAGCAAATCTTGTGTTTTTGAACTAAGTGTTTCATGTGTGTGTTTATTTCATTGCGTGATCGCAATCGAGTTTGATTATAGATTTCAGTACAACCGGTTCAGAGTTGTACTGCATGCAGTCGATAGTTTGAATGTTAGACATGAATTACGATCGAAAAAAATAAAGCGATTCTGTATCATGCAGACATTTCCAAACGATATTTCTCGGTTTGCCACTTGAAAATCGTGTTTTACTTTTTGCATGAATTAAAGCAAAGGTCAAGGAGTAGTGACGTCACTGGATGGCATTAATGGCTGGTCGATTCAGACGTTACTGAGGGAGTAATAACGACTCGAAGTAATTGGATGAAATTCAGGCTAGATTTTGTTTCCTTTGACGATAAACATCCTCAAAGACGAGAAAAATTTGTTGCCGAACGTGACTTTATAAAGGAAATAAAGGGAGATGTAAAGAATCAACCATAAGAGGACACAGAAAAAATCTGAACCCCAGATGGGATTCGAACCCACAACCCTTCATGTTCCAGATCAGATGCTCTAACCTCTGAGCTACTGAGGACTCGTTGGCGAGCAAGGGTCATTTTTGTGGATTGGACTAGCGAACCGCATCTCGCAATCACACAGTCTTTCCCATACTAAACTCTTACACTGGTCAGGTTTAATGTCTGAGTCACAGCAGGGACCAGGAATTTGTGACGTCATTAGTAGAAAGCGCTATTGACCTCTGTTGAGCTTTTAATTGTTGTATTGAATCACCGGTATAGGTAATGTATTTCATTGTAAACACAACTTAATACATTCATATTCAAAACCTGAATCCAATATTAAAACTATTAAAACTTAAATACCTTCAAATACGGCACAAAGCTAGTTTAAGCCCTTGCCTCGTAACCAATTGGCCACAAAGGCACAACCTTTTCCACGAAAATCCTCTAACACCGCGTCCCCCATGATAGCTCAACATGCCAAAGATTTCACATGAAATCGAGGGTGCAATTCATATTCCCCACCCCTAACACACGGGGATCCAATTTCCCACCCCCTGGAAGTCTCTGCTAATCAAATTCCCTCCTCCCCGGGACGGCAAAGGTGTCTAATGCCCGGGGTATGCCCGGGGAATGTTGGAGCTTCGATTTGACCGATACATAACACTGACAAACGTTTCTAAGATTTGCTCTAGTTAAGGTATTTTTAAGTTGTCAAGAAAGCTTTCGTCTCGTTTTTTTCTTCATCTTAAATGAAAACAGCATCTGCTAAACGTTTTTTGAGGTTATCAAAATGCTCAGCCTGAAAAAATCTTGCAAACGGTTACGTTTACAGAACTGTGCACAAAGCACAACATTGTTGGGCAAAACAAAGAAAACAAATTTGAAACACTCAAACGGCTTACCTGAAAGGGCAAAGCATTGTTCCTTCCAATATTTACTCTCATAAATACGCGAACGGATGATTTTTTCGACAAGATATTGGGGATTGGTTCCTTTCACCGTTTTAGCGTCCGAAACAGTGCGGTTCGCCATCTTGGATATGGACCCTAATTTCCAGTCCCTTAGCATTTCCAACCTCGTTCCCAGGATCCGAAAGAAGAGGAGTCACGAGACCATAGAACGGCAACCGCTGCGAATCATTCGGGCTGCTTCAAACTGGAACTCTTAATAAAATTTGTCAAATGCTGGCAATTTTTTTTTTTTCAGGAGTTGAATTCTAAAGCACTGTATCTAAATTCACAAAAAGAAAATCGCTGTCATGGGTGTTCCCAGTTCCTCCACAAGAACGCGAAATTAGGAAGCCGACGTCGTAGTCGTGCAGTGACGGCAAAAAAAGATGTACAAAAAAGCGTGCACGTGTAGATTTATTGCCAGTTTGTCAATCGAAACCGATTGCTTTTTTGCCGTTCTCGTTGCCGTCGCCGTCGTCTTTGCTTAAGCTCCCTAGGGACGACGGCGGCGGCGTGAACACAATACAAAACTTTTATTTTCCTTAACTTTAATAGCTACGGTCCTTTCGGATTCAACCCCAGAAATTTTGCCAACATTCACGATAAAAAATTAATTAAATGAAATAGAATAAGGTCCATGAAGTTTGTCATCCAGGCCCCAGTTGTTCGAAAGCCACTGGATGAATTACTATCCAAAGGATACCGCAATTGGTTTTCGTAACACTTATCCTCTTGACAGCGATTATATTTCTCCGGTGGATAGCGTTGTCCAACGTTTAAACAACCGGGGCCAGAAATTTTGATACCATGGTAATGTGACGTAACAACTGGCGTAAGAGAGAAGAACCATGATTCATACCAGTTCAAATTTATATAGCTTAATTTGTTTGGGAAGTGCCATGTTCGTGTCCATCTCAAGGGTACTTTAAACTAGGCGGACATCAAAGGTAAAAAAGGCCGTGAAAGAGTCCATATTTTGCGGCGGTAGCTCGAAATAGTCATCTGATTGACAAACCTGAGGCCGACGGTACGCTCATTTTATTGCCGTTTCCCATTTAGTACAACAAGGAAAACTTTATATTTTTTTATTGTTACGTTCTTGTATTAATTGGGTCTTAAATTCTGAATCCACAGGCGATATATCAAAAAAAATGCTTGTGGAGAAAAACGCCAAACACCACAAAAACCGAACCGAATTCACAAATTTTTCCGTAGTTTACCAAAACGTGCCTATTTTACCCCTTTGAATTAATGATTATCATAATTAATTCGGCTAAGATAAAGATCGGCGTCCGAATCAGTTTAGCCGACCTAAATGAATTTGAGTTCAAGATCAGAAAACAGCAACGCTATCACTGGTTTCCGGCCTAAATTCGAATTCGATTCGACTCATGTAAAGTAGGGTTAGATACATGATGCTTTAAAATTTGGACATTTGATATGCTTTTGAGTGTCACTCTCAAAACAACAGCAGGTATGCCTAAAAATATGCTCGAAAAGTGGCATTATGATCAACTGATCTTGGCTATATTTGATGCCCTTTTCCATCCCCGCAGACAAAAAAATACTTTCGTAAGCCAGAAACACAGTATTCTATTACATAAAATTACAAATTGGAATGACAAATAATACTCAAAAGTGCACAGAAAGTGCTATTTCGATGCAACTCTCCTGTCGCAACAAAGCGTTGAAAGTAGCAACCAGCCTTTAAAAAAGTTTTGCACTTGAAAGTGAAAAATCTCAAGACATTTGTGAAATATTAAATGTTATCATTGTTATTCATCTCTTTATGATGCAAAAAATGGCCATTATGCCGGCATTATTCTCGATGCTCTGACCGTAGAATTATGCCCAAAATTATGCCGTCACTGAGGGGTATGACCCTAATGTAAAGTGCGGCGTCTGAACCGTGCCTAATGTCCGAGTCCAAACATGTAATTGCACTAAATTTGCAATCGAAGGTAGTTGAGAATATTCATGTCCAAGAAAAACTCTGCCACATGACAATCACTTGGGCTGAGATAATAGCATTTGGTTGACTCGTTTCCTTGGGAATCTCCCTGTTCAATTACATCATCGAATTCTAATTTTTCTGAGAATCATTTATCGTACCAAGCATTCTAATAGGGCAATAATTAAAGATCGGGTTTTCACAAAAGGATAGACGATGCATGCATGGTAAGCTCAACTGTACCCTGCTAGCAGAGGTCTCTCACGGCCAGAAAAAAAAATATAGGAAAGGGAGAGACCTCTGTCGGCCCTCGAGACGTTTTCTATCACTCATTTTCGTAACCTTCAGCAACGTTTTAGTCACGTGCCACACAACTTACAGAACCGGTTTGAACGATAATAACTGTGGGCTCAAAACTTTCCAGCACACAGTCTCAACAGGGCACGAGCATTCCACATTAAACAAAAGTAGTCGAAACCGGTTTTGACTTGCCACCTGGAGTGTGTTCGGCGGCTGCGGTAAAAGAACGCGTCGAAGCCTTTCCCTTTCCTCTCCTTCTTCTCTTGTCGTAAGAAACTTTTGATTATAGCGAGGAAGCTCAAGAGCGCTAACATGGAATATCTAGTTAAAAAACACCAGTGTCCTGCTGTAGATGGGCTCCTTAGGCTTCGTGATAAGCTTCCATGCCCGGAAGAAAATGTTATCGAGGACTTTACGGAGAAGATTGTCAAAACAAAAGAATTTTCGTTTCCCTGCCTCTTCGAAATAGCACAGGAGTATACAAATAGAAGTCTGCCAACAGCAGAACGACTTTGGGATAAACTAATTGGAAAGGCTGAGAACACGAAACCGCAAAAATTCATGATTATGAGCCAGCTTTTTCACGTTCAAGTTCAAACTGGGACTTGGAAAGTCGCTTTTGAAACAGCGAAGAACATGTACGAGGAAACAATGGAGTATTGCAAGGATCAAAGGAAGACAATCGAAGGTAGTAGTACCATTACTTCTTTCTCTTTTCACTGACCAATTTGCTTTACAGTACGTGGGGACAGGAGCAAACAACGTCGGGTATAACGGAAGAATATCGTGTAGTTTAAAATAGAAAAACGAGATAGAAGTTGAGTTTGTTACAAAAGGCTTGTTTACATTCCTTAGTGTAAATAACTACAGATGTTAAACAGAGCTAGAATGACGGGGCCGAGGCGAAATCGGCGTCGTTTACTGAAACAGCTTTATTTACATGCTAATGTACTTTTCTTAGAAATTCTCTTGGCCGGTTAGACTCTGCGTGTACGACAGCCCACAAACTTGCTTGATTTTCCTTAACTGAGACGTTTTACCGGTACCTCAAAACGTTTTCGCAAGCAGGTAAACGATAGAATAACGGAATCTGGCAAGTAAAAAGAAACATAAGAAGACAGAGAAAGGGAACAAAAAGGAAAAATTCTGTTTCGTCCGTCTCCGCCACGTCAAGCTTCCGTTTTTACGTATACTATTACCCTTGTTCTAAAGCGGAGGGTGACGTTTCTGGCTTCATGAAGTAAATAATTTTCAGGTACATGAATGACCAATGAAAGTCATATAACTTGCTGAGCTTTTATTTTTAATTTATAGTCTCAATTATAGAACTGAAATACGAAACTCGACTTCCATTTTCAGTTTTGAACACATACCAAGCTATCGGAAACATACAGAACTTCCTCCTTCGTTTTCTGTTTCTGTGTTCATACGGCATCTTATTACAGGCAACAACACGCTCGCGTAAATATATCCTAATGCCCCAATTGTTGCTTACTGGAAGGAAAAATCTTTAAAAGATTCTCTTGTTAGAGCTAAAATTCCTCAATTCTTCGTTCGTTTTCACTGTCACGCAATAAACACGGCACAAAGAAATAAATTGGAAACCGTCCAATGGAAAAAGCCAAGGAAATGAAATTTATTAAATACTAATACATAAACAATTTGTGGAAATCTCAGGTCTTTGTGGCCCATAGCCAGCGTAGCTGGCGGTATTGTGTAGTAGTCGACTGAGATTTGGCGGCGGAGCTGTTGTAATGCAGTCGACTGTAGCCGTCACGAGCGTAGCCTCCCACGCAGGCGTTTTTAGGGGGGCTCGTTTTAGATCCCTTCCCACAAACGCCTGCTCAACCGAAGACAACAGTCCCTGCCTAGCTTGGGAAAGGAGTGTTGTCTTCGGTTGAGCAGGCGTTTGTCGGGAGGGATGAAAAACGAGCTCCCCTAAAACGCCTGCGTGGGAGGTTACCAATGAGCGGCGAAGCCGCGAGAAATACCAACCGCCTCGTCCCTACTCCCTTTTTCTGGAACACGGCTCCGCCGCCAAAACTTTAATCTCGCACCCACACAACACCGCCAGCTACGCAGGCTATGTGGCCCACAGTTTCTGAGTTATTTGCCGAAACATTTCACGAACCTTCTTAGATCTTTGTTTGGAGACGCCATATTGGTGGACAGAAACTGTCCACCAATATGGCCGCCGGAAATCAACAAAAACATCTAGAGTTCACTTTTTCTATAAAAGCTCTTTCTTTTCCCTCGAGGGCTAGCATACGTGCGCATAAACACATCTCTTAATACTTGAAATGGTTAAAATGGTGAAAATCAAGAGGAGAGACTTTTTTCCATGAGACAGCATTCCTATTTTGGTGTCACGTACTGCGAAAACTGGGAAGTTCAAATTACTGTATTTTCGAAACAAAACACGCTTCGGGGCTGGAAACTTGTACAGAGATTTATTTTCTATTTATCTTCAACCTAGTGTAAATCAGGGGAATTCGTAAAACCACGCTTTTTGACTTTGCAATCTGATGACTTCACTGTGAAAACCATCAATTAACACCAACTTTTAAGGAGTTATACACGGTAAGGGTCGAATGACAACATTATTACTCTTTGACTTGCAAATTACACTGCCACTGTATGAACTTCACTCCAATAACTGAGTCTCAAGATTTATTTTAAATCAAGAATTGATAGCAATTTTTAAGGGCAAACTTGTTAAAAACGATCGTGAAGTTTAACAAGCATCCTTATGCAAATTTGCATAAGCTCACTTTCAGTTAGCATCTATTGTTTACCGCTAACAAAGAAACACGCGAATATTCACATATTCA